CTCTAAAAAATCATGAGAAAGCGCATGCACGTGCGGAAGAGACGCATCAACAGGAGCACAATAAACCCTATCAATGCGGAGAGTGTGACAAGAGTTTTAGTAATTCAGGAAATCTCAAGCATCATCGCAAAACACATGCAAAAAAGAAGCCCTTCCAGTGTAAAAAAGAGGAGAAGAAGAGATCGTTAGTTGGGCAAGTTAACACAAAAAAATTAAACAGAATGCAAAACAAACGGATAAAGCTGACACAGGGACAAAAAGTTGCTGACTCAGAAAACAAGCCTTATAAGTGTAAGGATTGTGGTAAAAGGTACAATTTTCCAAGCGAACTCAAGCGACATGAACCGGTTCACACTAGACAGCGGAATTTTAAATGCCAACATTGCAGTAGACGTTTCTTTCACACTGGGACTCTAAAACAGCATGAGAAAATGCATGCACGTGTAGCAGAGAGGCATCAACAGGAGAAAGAAAGAGCACCACATTTAGAAGCACAAATGCCACGTCAGCTTAAAAACTACACCTGTTGGATATGTTCACATGAGTTCCACTGTGAAAGTGAATCTGTTATTCGTAAGCACTATGATGAACATTTGAAACAACTAGGTTACTAATGTAAAGTAGACTAACCTGCAAATGCACAAGGTTGGCACGTATCTCGAAAGTCGTTGAAAGTCCTTGAATTTTAAAATAAAAATTCAAGGCCTTGAAAGTCCTTGAAATTTACAGTCGGTGCTGGAAAGTCCTTGAATTTCAGTGCTAACTTTATTCTGAACCCAACAAAGACCGAAAGACCTTAAGGATAATTATATTGCTCATGTTTTGGAAGAAGTAAAAAAGACTCAAGGCCCTTTTTTGCACTGAATGGAGTCCTTGAAAAATGAGAAATGTGTCCTTGAAAGTCCTTGAATTTTTGTTCAAAAAAGGGTACAGTCAACTCTCTCCAAGACAGACACCTTTGGGACCAGCACTAAGTGTCCGTCTTAGAGAGATGTCCGTCTTATAAAGAGTCAAATAAAGGGAATAAGCAAGGGCAGGGACCAACTCTAAGTGTCCGTTTTACAGAGGTGTGCGTCTTATAGAGGTGTCCGTTAAGAGAGAGTCGACTGTATAAACATTTACCACTAGCAACATTTTTGGGTGAACAAAATCTGCTATTTGACCTCCAAAATTCCATACTGACTTCATAGATTTCTCCAGAAGCTCTTGTTAGGCAAATGTGGTAATTGTGTCCTTTTTGTATTTACAAATGACAGACAAGACAAAAGGTGATCACATAGATAAAAAACGAAAATGCAATGAATATTATAATTAAAAAACAGCTATTATTTGTGGAATACATTCTTTACAAGAAGTACTGCCACTCATTAGCAGAAGAACTCGAAACTTTATGATACTAGACCAGAAGGAACATGATTTGGAACAAATCTTTATCTACATCTGTAGAACTTCATGATTTATAATTATGTAAACATTGATTTATGTTATCAGTTTGTAATTTTGGGGGCTAAATCACAGACATCTCTACTGCAAAATGTCCTTAGCGGCCAGGAGCAAGGAAAGACTGCTGTTTTGGCAGGCGAAGAGTTAGACTAGAAGAACATATTCTTATAGTTTTTATTTTATTCTGAAATAATAGATCCATTCTAGGGTTTTCCAAAACTATAATTTTTGAGAAGAAAAAGAAATTAAGTTTTCAATTTTTAATCTACTTTAGTTATTATTATTTAGTTATTAATTTTAGTAGTTATTATTATTATAGTTATTAAATAATATTATAGTAATAATATTATCAGGGTGCTGAGTAAAACTTTTCACAAATACATTCTTGTGAAATAATATATTGTTTTAAAATCTAAAAATAGCAATGGTCTGGCAGTGTCTTTTGTTGAACATCTCTGCTGAAATCAGACTTGTTTCTGCAATAACTTTCAATTTTGGCACAAAATTGTCCAAGATCAATTCAAACCAGTTTCCCTTTCAGTTAAAGAGATTTTTTTCAAACACTATATAACTCATTATGACCTGACACTTTTTTTTGTAACTAAGAATTTTAAATGTGAATAATGCCAAGGTTTTCGTAGAAAAGTGTAGAACTTGGTGTAAACAAAATGGAGGAATGTGTTATTAAAGCAGTGATGGTAGCATGGCTAAGGACTTGCATTATTATATCCAGAGGCTTCCATAATCCCTGTTGTTCATACACTCACATATTGATTCAGGGGGGCCTGTTCTTTGAACAGCTTGGAGCTTGGTGATGTATCTCTAATGACCCACCTCCTGAGGATACCTGCTCATCCTCCGGGTCATCCTCGAAATGGCAGGGGTTCAACCTCGTGGTCTGCTGACGTCATCACAAATGCCAGCGTTTACGTGCAAAGAACGAGCATATTACCAGCCATAACATAGCAAGAAAGTGCTCTACGATTAACCAGCCCGAACTGCGTAAAGGGGTGTGCGGAGACCCGTGACGCCGATTTGCATCGATAAGAAAATAATATTGTTCTTTTAAACCTGGTCATAAATTTGTTCAAGCGGGAGAAAGGAGGTGAGATTATCGTGTTTCTGTATATGTGCTCTATACACCGAAAGTGAAGACTTATTGGCGTAACCTTTGGCCGGTAAGAAACTTTGTTTCGTAGGCCATTGTACGGCGTGAATATTGTTTGACATGAGCGTACTTGTACAATTTGATTATTATCTAAATTTAGTGATTAAAAAGAAAACAAAGGGCTTCACTAAGCGTGGCTGTCGAAGAAGCGACATTGAAGATTCGATCGATAGACCAATATCGCGCTTCATGACACGATGTAGTTATGAAATCTACTTTCACATCGCCGAGTTATAGGGCCGTGAAACACACATGAGAGCGTTTGAAGCGGCATTACAGTAGTCCCTCAACATCACTGTTCGTAGTCGACTGTGTGAGATCATTACATGTACGTGGCATTCCTAAGTTTCGCGGAGGTTGCGAAGCATATGCTCATCATGTTGAGTTTGGCTATGTATTAGTTGTTATGGGTATAAATAAGCTTAATTTTCTTCTAATGGTCAGGTATTCTGAAGTTACTTTATAAGTGATCGCTGTGCTTTCTAGAAGTTCGCATAATGGTCAATGCTCGTCTCAAATGGACGCTATTCAGTAGCATTTTATAGAAAAGTTATTTTGGAATTTTAAGCTCATTTGCATTATAAGCGGTTTGTTAATATTTGTACATCGTCAATAAATTAATAATAGCGCATTTAGATCATTTTACACATAGCTTGACTCTTAACGCCACGTCCAGACGAATGCGGAAATGCACGAATTGAAATTTTGTCCACACAATTAAACCAGTGCATCCGCTCACCTCGAAAGATGGTCAAGTTTAACCTAGGATTAAGCCAAATTTAAGTAAGGTCTTCTTGTCTAAGAATATGTCACTAGAGCTAACAAGACACTGTTTTTTACTGCGAGACTCAATGATGATAAGGGAAAGTTCATTTAATATGACAAGGGGGGGGATGAAGATATTGAGGGGGGGCTCCGAAAATTTTTAGACACCCGAAGGGGAGGCCCTGAAAAAATTGTTGCGCTAGGAGGGGGGCTCGAAAATTTGTATACTTCAAAACCAACACATGACATCATCATACAGATCGGATGGTTTTCAACTCAACAATTTAATGACCTGTGCAACTCAGCTATATCACGTGGTTTACAGATATAACAAATGTAGTCTCAGTAATTATTACACTCTTGTTCATCCCAAAAATGCTTTAGAAAATTGTATCACATCTGTATCTCAAGTTTGTCATAGTATAAACCATTGAAGACAATAATGGTAAATATATTTAATACAGTCTAGCGATCTTTTTTCAGGGGAGCAAAGGAATTGAAGGAGGAGGGGGGCTCTGAAATTTTTTCGACTACCAAGGAGGGGCTCCTAAAAAATTGAACCGCTAGCGAGGGGGCTGCTAAAATTTCAAGTTTCGAGTTTCAATATCTTACTTCCCCCTTGTCATATTAAATGAACTTTCCCTAACATAGAATGTTTATGCATACATGTAGGAAGATAAAGACAAAATTGGAAGAAAATTTTTAATCTTGGATCAGCGTTAATCGGCCTTACAGGAACTGGAGCCAGGAGGTATTGTAGGACCCGGTCCACATGAATCCAGGTCACAAAATGTGCGGACAGGGGTGGGAGACATAAGCCAGCTTGCAAGGCACTTCAAGAGACCTACATGATTCGATGTTCCTCAGTTAGAAATTACTCATCATATCAATGACCAAAGTGCTTTTTTTTGCGGTTCTTTTAGGAGTCGGTAAGTGCTTTTTACAATGAATTTCGAATACAAAAGTAATTTTAAGAGCAAATAGAAGGGATTTTGGATACTTAGTCTCAAGGCTTGAGCAGAAATCTAAGTAACAAAACAAGTTTTGCTCGCAGGCGAGTTTATAACGTATCGGCACAGTTGGGCATCTGTTCTCTAAATGCGATGTAATGTGTTTACGTTAGGCTTCCACCGTCAAAAAAGCAGTCATTCTTCAATCTGGAAAGTATCTCTGAATTCGTGTTTAATAGGGCTCCATCAACTTTAAACTGGGCGCTTTAGCGGAAGTTCTAGAGAAAAGGCTCTTAAGAAAATATTATAGGAAAATTCATTACCTGACGAGGCAATATCAAGAATTTCGCGACGTGTTTCACGTGGCGTAGTGGTAACGCAAGAGCCTGGTGTGCAGAAGGTCCCAAGTTCGATTCCGGGTAGAACCTGTTTATTTCGTATCTTCTTTTTTTTCTTTTCCTTTACGTTTAGTCTTCTTTTTAGTTTTGATTTGTTTCTTTAGATAGCTTAAGTATTTTTTTTTTAATTTATAAATTTTCTTCCTTAGTGCCTTATTGCCCTTTCAACTCCTTGCCGTTCTCCCGAAGTCCTTCGCGAGGTCCTGCGATTCACGTATTTCTAGTTCCGAGTGTAGCCCAGAAGTCCCAGATTGCAAATTATCGTCGATCGCTAATATGTTCACCCCTAATGATCTCGAGACAAAAATGGGAATGGGTTGGACTCAAGTTACTGGATGGTCGTTTTATTATCACATCAAACTGTATTTAAAAATAACATTGTTATGCAGGCTAATCTGTAGACTGTTCAAAGTCCCCTGTTTTTCTAGTTTCCCTCGCAGCCGTCTTTGGCACGTCACGCAACGCTCCCAGGATCATTGCCCGAGGCTGCAAAAGTTCTTAAGATCGTCGAGATCGACCGCCAAGATGGCCGCCCGTTCGGGTAAGCACTCGATCCTGACGATCTTACGAAAAAATCGGGGATTGTGGATAGTCTAGCTAATCTGAAAACAAGTGTCACTGTGCTACAAGACCACCTTGATGTATGCCTTTAATAACAAGCTTACTTATTTCTTGCCCAGTAAGAAATGTACTCAAGTTTACATTGTTGTCATTCCTTCACAGACGCAGTGGATTAAACACGCGATGTTTAATACACTCCCGGTGGGAGAAAAACGTTACAAGTGCAGGCAATGCGGGGAGTGCTTCGGTAGGATAGAAAACCTCGTGAGGCATCGCAAAACACACAAAGACGATATTCAGCGATTGCAGTGCAAGAAGTGTGAGAAATGTTTCACCACAAAGGCTAATTGCCAGCGACATGAAGAAACGGTGCACTCTACAGAAAAGCCTTTTCAGTGCAAACAGTGCGGGAAGAGATTTAAAAGGGCAGATGTCTTGGCTAAGCATTTTAAAATCTCGCACAGTCAGTGCGGCAGGAGTTTTTCCAATGCCGGAATTCTTGCCTCGCACAAGCTATTAAAAAGGGCTCATAACTTGCTACAGCGTGTTGCAGCGAAAGCTAGACAGTACGAGCAAGTTCATGCAGAAGAAAAACCTCACAAATGTGAACAGTGCGGTAGGCATTTTACTAATGCGGGCAATCTTGCGTTGCACAAGCTGAAGACACATGGCTTGCCTCAGCGATTCAAATGCAACAATTGCGGTAAGGGTTTTAATAATACAGCGAATTTTCGACAGCATAAGCAAATTCATGCAGAAGTAAAACGTCTCAAATGTCAACAATGCAGCAGGCGTTTTACTAATGCCGGCAATCTTGCCATGCACTGTACGACTCATCAAAGGAGTTTTAAGCGTAAGGATGACCGTAAGGGCTTGAATGGTGCAGATAGTCTTAAAGGACATAAACAAATTCATTCCCGAGAAAAACGTCCCAAATGTGAACAGTGCGGCAGGCGTTTTACTAACGCAGGCAATCTTGCCGTGCATTCCAAGACTCATCTAAAACGTGAACAACCACGTGCTTTAGGCAATCGCGTCAACCGTAGCAAGACAGACGCCGCGCAAAAGCGATATCGGTGCTGGGAATGCGGCAAAACCTTAACAAAAGGTAACTGGAAAAGGCATAAGAGGACACACACAGGAGAGAAACCCTACCAATGCAAAGTCTGTGGAAAATACTTTGCTGATTCAGGAAATTGTACTCGACATACTCTGATACATTCGAGCGAAAAGCCCTATAAAGGCACAAAGACAAATAGTGGTGTGTGTAATGGCGATGCCGGAAATCAGAAGAACAACATGAATACAGAAGAACATTCTCGTAAACTGCAAACACGTGAACAGCATCGAAAGAAGAGTGCAGAAGACAGACACGTGTTGGTTCACACAGGTGAGAAGCCTTTTTCGTGCCGAAAGTGTGGAAAAGGTTTCCCCACGCGAAGTAGTCGTAACCGTCATGAAAGAGAGGTCTCGCATGCAAGTAATAAGGCTCGGACGTCTCTTAAGGCAAAGCCACGTTCGAAAACTGGGGTACTACAGCCGAAAGAAGCAAATCTGCAACGGAATGAAAAACATCTTGGTCTGAAAGGGCAAACGCACGAACAGGATCGAAAGAAGGGCAAAGAGGACAAACTCAGATGCAAACCGTGTGGCAAATGTTCCACCTTGCGGGAAGACTTGAACAGACACATGTTGGTTCACACACGAGGTGAGAAGACTTTTGCGTGCCAGTACTGTGGAAAAACTTTCCCCACGCGAGGTAATTGTAACCGTCATGAAAGAGAGGTCCCTCATACAAGTAATAAGGCTCGGACGTCTCTTAAGGCAAAGCCACGTTCGAAAACTGGGGTACTACTGCCGAAAGAAGCAAATCTGCAACGGAATGAAGAACATCTTGGTCTGAAAGGACAAACGCACGAACAGGATCGAAAGAAGGGCAAAGAGGACAAACTCAGATGCAAACAGTGTGGCAAATGTTTCACCTTGCCGGAAGACTTGAACAGACAAATGTTGGTTCACACACCAGGTGAGAAGACTTTTGCGTGCCAGTACTGTGGAAAAACTTTCCCCACGCGAGGTAATTGTAACCGTCATGAAAGAGAGGTCCCTCATACAAGTAATAAGGCTCGGACGTCTCTTAAGGCAAAGCCACGTTCGAAAACTGGGGTACTACTGCCGAAAGAAGCAAATCTGCAACGGAATGAAGAACATCTTGGTCTGAAAGGACAAACGCACGAACAGGATCGAAAGAAGAGCAAAGAGGACAAACTCAGATGCAAACAGTCTGGCAAATGTTTCACCTTGCCGGAAGACTTGAACAGACACATGTTGGTTCACACACGAGGTGAGAAGACTTTTGCGTGCCAGTACTGTGGAAAAACTTTCTCCACGCGAGGTAATTGTAATCGTCATGAAAGAGAGGTCTCGCATACAAGTAATAAGGCTCGGACGTCTCTTAAGGCAAAGCCACATTCGAAAAAGTCGCACCAGAAGGCGCATAGTGTCAAGTCTGTGCAAGATGCACACAGCTGTCAAGACAATGAACATGACAGGCAACCAGAGCAGAATGAATCTAACACTTGTTGGATCTGCCTAGAGGAACTCCCAAGTGAAGTGGCTCTACTGAGACACATCGAGAACCATTTTAAAATTGAACCTGAAGATGATTGAACCATAATGATTAATTGAAAGCTAAAACGTCTAGACAGATTGGTCATGATGAGATCTTTTTTTTGTAGAAATTCTAACCAAAAAGTACCAAGGACTTTTTGTTTGTTTGTCTTTATTTTATTTAATAACTGAGCAGCCACTTTTGTCATCCCAGGTTATTTGTGGCTTAACACTTCGGTCTTGGTTGAAGGATCAAAGAGAGTTAACCGGTTAAGTCGCCCGAAACCGGAGTTAAGTTGCCTGAAATGCCGAGTCATGTCGCCCGATTTTATCAGTGAAGTGCACAGAGAAACAAAGTTAATTTTAGTTAAATAAAGAGTTTAAATGAAAATTCATTTTTCTCTCTTCCGGCTGCGTGTCGCCTTTTCTGATTTTCACGCGCGCTCGCGTTTCGCTCGCTCTACTATCCCTGAGGAAAAATGGGGGACTACTCGTAGTCTATGCAAATTCGAAAAGTCTCAAATGCATTTTCCTCTAGGATGACCGAACCGGTACAAAATTTATAGCGCCGCTTAGAATGCATTTCTAGAGATCTAAAGTACTTGTCTATTATCCGGTTCTTAGTTAATTTTAGAGATTTTGAATCTTGTTCGATTATTGAACCATTAAACACCAAACTTGAGGATTTAGTAAAGCTCATTGTGCTCTTTCTGGCTATTAAGGTCCATATACGTCCTAGCACCCAGTCCCTCTCAGTTTGAAACAAGGCAATGGTGATTAAAATCACGCATGATTAGTCTTCGGCACTCAGGGTGGTGCCGGTTTGACAAACCGACCTGACTTTTGTTCTGACAGCAGACAAACAGCTTTTAAAACATACATAACAGATATCTCTCCGCTTCTGATTGGCTTACATCCCCGACCATTTCCTCATAGCCAGCTAGATTGTTCAAATTTGGAACATGTTTGCGGATATCGAACGATTGACGTCAATCGTATGGATATCACCAGGAAAATGAGACTCACAAACACGCGGCGCTGTGTGAGTTAGCTGTTTTGACAGCGCAGAGCTTGAGAAAATGGTGGAACACTAAATAGGCAATTTACTCAGTGTCTCCAAACTTTGCAATAATATAGACAAAAATACCACAACTGCTATAAGAAGAATATCTGGAAGACAAAACATTTCTTCGAAACATTTTGGCTCGTCGCGGCTTCAACCTAGAAGCCGCGAGGAGCCAAAATGTTTAGAAGACGAGAACCTTAGATAGAGGTAAGAATGTTTTGACGTTGAAAATGTTCTGAACGACTTCAACACTAACTTGAACCCCACTGTATAAGGTTCGGGATCGCGTTAGGGTTAGTGTTAGAGTTAACGTTAGG